TTATTCAAATTATTCAAAGACATATAAGGCCAAGAAATACGCGATGACATTGAAAAGAAGAAAATGCTTGTGCTACTATCCCGACATTATCACGGCGTACGTGGACTAATGCTAAATCATAGGACTATGATATTTTGCTATTGCATATTTCCCCCCCCCCCAAAAAAAAAAAAAAAATCTTTGTGGAAAATTTAAAGTCTTTTCTAATAATATTAACAGATTATTTTTTGTTTGGTTGTTCTTCTTTTTGGATTTGTTAAATTATTTAAAGGAATTTCCAATTCACATAGTAGAAATTTACATTTCTAATTATAATCACCAAATTGACACCAGAGCATGAACTATACGCTTCGCTGATCACCAACTTGTAACAACATTGACCTAGATGTTATATAACTGCTGCCAGACTTTATTAGGGGCAATAAATGGACACACAATTCCATTGTAACTGTATAATGTGTATTATAAACCAAAGGTAAATTTATAGATTTCAGAACAGAACAATAATATTCCAAATACATTCACTGTCTTGTTATATACTATTCAAAAAAAGTAGGGGATATTTGATTTTGGGGGCATAATACTAAAATATGCAAATGACTACGAAAAAAGTCACTATAGAACCTAACAGAAGAAACATTTCCAGTTACATGTGACGCCCAAACGCACCAATAGCTACCACATGGAATGCAGGTGATGCTTGGGATCATCATGGGGGTCCAACCCAAGATTTGCACGACTCTGACTTTGAATGTTACAGTCATTGTGGCATTGAATTCCAGGATGGTAACATCAGTTTAATTGTTTTAGTGACCAGAAAACAAATTTTGATATGCGTCGGCTTACCCAAAATGAAAGGTTACGTGCCCTTGGCATGCTACAGATCGGCACAACACAGGCGGTTGTGGCGCGGACGATGAATGTTTCTCAGTCTGTCATAAGCAGGCTATGGTCCAGATACCGTGATACACAATCTGTACAGGACAGACCACGCTCAGGTCGACCAAGGGCGACAACTCAAGCCCAGGATCGATTTATCCGTACCTTGGCCTTGAGAAATCGTGTCATCACAGCAAATCAGATCAGCGCTCGTCTTCAAACAGACACTGGTGTGAGAGTGAGTGGCCAGACGATTCAGAATCGACTGCAAAGGGGTCACCTTCACGCCCGACGTCCTCGCGTGATCCCTTGTTTGAGAGATCATCACATTCAGGCAAGACGTCGTTGGTGTAGGGATCGTCAACACTGGGATAATCGACGCTGGAGCAATGTGATGTTTTCAGATGAGTCATGGTTCACTGTTGATTTTTTGGACAGACGTAGAAGCTAGGGTGTGGCGTCGTCGAAACAAGCGCTTCCAAGACGTTAACGTCATCAGACATGATCGATTTGGGGGTGGTTCTGTTATGGTGTGGGGAGGCATCACTGTTGCTGGAAGAACGGCTTTACATGTTGTTGCAGGGCGTGTTACAGGCCAGTACTACCGGGACAACATCTTGGCAGTCCATGTTGTGCCGTTCGCACGACGTCATGGCCGCCGTTTCATCTTCCAGGATGACAACGCAAGATGTCACAGGGCCAGGATCGTTACAGGTTACCTCCAACAACAGAACATCACCACATTACCTTGGCCAGCACTAAGTCCCAACCTCTCCCCCATCGAGCATGTCTGGGACATTCTTGGACAGAGGTTACGTCAACGTCAACAACGTCCTGCCAATGTCCAAGAACTTGCTGCTGCGTTGCAACAGGAATGGGACAATCTGGACCAAAATGACCTTAGACGTCTTATTAGGAGTATGCCACGTCGGATCAATGCTTGTTTGGCAAACAGAGGAGGATTTACCCGTTACTGACTTGGTTGTGATGCTGTGGTAACTTTGCTGTTTGACCCCGGGTATCATTTTACCCTTATAATGGTCAGTCTGTGCCTTACTTAGTCTAACGATCATTTGGAATAAATCGATGAATGTGAACTTCATTTCATTTTGTCATTTGTTTCTTCGTCAGTTTCATTAGGTGACTTTAATAACACTTAAAAATCAAATATCCCCTACTTTTTTTGAATAGTATATGATGACTTTAGTTTAATAAAATTTAAAATTCGTCATGACTCTGTAAGTTAATAACGATGTGTTGTGTATCCTATTTAAAAACTAATTTGTCAGCGACACAAACGCCTCAATGGATTATGTACATAAGCTATAGATATTTTAATTACATCAAAGGTGTATTAGAAATTACTGTTGATCTGAAATAGTTTCTTTTTAAAAAATTCATAACGTGGAACTCAATATAGAATAATAAATAGCCAGAAATATTGAAAATGAAGCTATATAGGTTTAAAACTATGACTTTAAAATATAGTGAATATGTCGAAATGGGTAACTGCAGCAAATAAATTATTATTGCCTAATTATATAAATATATTCCTATAAAGGTAGTGGCCTAATTCTTTCACGCAATTTTACATGTTGATGTGAATAGAATACATAACAAATATAGTGAAATTTACTGAAATATACATGACAAACCATCTCTTAATGCAAAAACTTTGGTGTGCATCATTATTTTTTTTTATGAGTTATCACATTGTTAATGCCCCACGCCCCCTTTATGTTTATAATATTTTCTCTGATTGTAACAGCTTTAAGTGACTTCTCGATATCATTCAAAATAACAAGTCTTTGCTCTGCAAAAGGAGATCAAACAGTTATAAATGGGATTTAGACAAAAGGGAAACATATTTACGCATATATACTTGAAGACTTTCTGTTTCAAATCTACGTTGTATTATTCATCCGTTTTATGTGATTTATTTTTGGTATATACTGACACATATTTAATATTCAATATTGTTCATATTGTATTAACAGGCCTTTAACAAATACATGTAGATCATGCTATAACCCTATTCTAAACCCGTATCCATGATTTGTTTTACGTCAAATTTTTAGATTTCAAAGCGCACACAATTAAGCAGAATTGGCAGTAAAAAAAATTAAAAAATTACTACGGCTTATTATGAAAATCGTTTCAAATAAAGCGAGAGAAATAAAAAAAAAAGACACCAAAGTGATTTCCAAAGGCGATTGCATGCTTTTAGAATAGAACAAGCTAGGCGACACATGGAGCTGTGCCTAGTCCGTGCAACGGATGCGGGACCGAGAGTTAGATTTCTTTACGTTTGACTAATTGTTCAAGAAGGGTCATCTAAGCTGTTGAAAGAAGGGAACCAAACATACCCTAATGCGAATATATCGGGAAGACGTCCTGTAAATCTGCGAAAAGCTGTTTTGTATGAAAATATGATTACAATATAATGGCTGCTTCGAAAACAGATTGGTTAATCTGATAACAATGGCGATTAGAATATATCGGATAATCAAATTGGGGTTGGTTATGATATCGGGAAATGACGGTACAGCGTGTGATCAATTTTAAGATACAAGCATTTATATAGTGGTACGCACGATAATTTGTAAACAAATTAAACCCACAAAAAAGATTAAATATATAAATAACTGCAGTCCGACTATGGTACGAAGTACAAAACACGTAGTATTCATCAAGAAATGAAATACGTATAAGAAAGGATATACGTACCTATCCCACGTATAAATCCATGTATAAAGACCTACACTTAACAAAGACCGATCTGCGTAAAACACGGTCGAACAAAAAATCGCACGGCAAATTAGATTTAACACCTACGCGTCAGATAAAGCTTGCTGGTCCTTGATAAATCACCTTTGCTGCAGTTATAACATGCTTTCGAGAAAACTCACCAAACAAAGAATACACACCGTGTCAGTCGTTTTAACCCGTTCGTTAATTAACACACCGGTACAGAAAACACACCGTCGCCGAGATTTTCACCCCAAGCGATAATTATATCACCTTTCAGTCAATTTCTCACCCCTGTTAATTAACACACCGTACCTACAGATTTTAGCCTCTTCGTATTAGATTTGTTGCGATAATTAGAATTTTACCGATATTTGTAGAAATTTACTAAAACGCGAGAAAACTATACTGTAAAGGTACAAATCTCACCTTTACTACTTCTCAGTGATACGATGTCTATTACTAGCAGATATACACGAGGTGTACATGTATCTATTACTGATCAAAGATGTCCTGTGTATCTGTTACTGACAGCTATCTATACTCGAGGAGTATCTATTACTGATTAAAGATCCTCGGTGTATCTGTTATCTATGACTGATTAAAGATATCCCGGTCGGATTCATCTTGCTTTCTTTGGTTATTCTAAGAGGTTTGGAATGATGTAATGAATGCTAACATTTCTGATATATATATATATATATATATATATATATATATATATATCATTCGCATGATTAACTCTAGTTATCAAGTGAAGACATCAAAGTAAAGTTTTTAATTTGTTTGATGTTGATACAGTAAATATGGTTGCACGAGCGATGAAAGTCGCAAATATGCTGTAACAACAACTCGGTTTTAAGAATGATCAACCAGTACTAGGCCTAATTATAAAACAAAACACGGCTAATTAAATTGATTAAATGTTAAGCTTTTAATTTGTTTGATGTTCATCCCCTGTTGATTGTGATTAGAGCAATATACAACAGGATAATTAATTGGCAGTGGTTTTCATTCGTGGACTACTGAACACTGTTAATTTTATTATACCCGACAGTTTACATCACAACACGCACAGAGTTTTGTCTTGTCCATGGATTTTATGATTTAGCATAAAATATGTTACTTGATCCAGTTTTGGTCATTTTCAAATGCCCTCGGTCCCAACTGGCATATACAGCCGACATGGAACCCATGGTCTATACTAAGCCAGAGGTTTTAGTGTGGAAATTGCGGCCATATTTGCTTCCATAGAGATTCCTCTATCCTTAGGCCAAGAGAACACAATAAACAATAAATATAACAGAACAAAATGTTACCAGTATAATTTCAATCAGATTGAAATAATAAGAGAACAATAAAGTGTATCTTACTTGGTAAGAAAATCGTGAAATATTTGTGGTAAATGTGTCGGTATGGTAGGAGGAATGGTAGTTACTTTTTCACCTTCTGCCAAAGACAATAACATTATACCCTGTAAAATTTAAAAAATCACCATATATTTATATCATATAAAACTTTTCAAGCTACTGCTTTATTCCTTCAATGATCATTGCCATAATTTACTACAAATCATGAAAATTATATTGATCTAACCCGAATAAATTTAAACTTTTTTTTTATTGAATGAATTCTTACATAAAATGACCAAACAAAGTTATATGTACTTAAAAAGCTATATACACTTTAAAACAATTCCACCTCAATCTGATTAAAATTATTTGATATATTGCCGTTTTTGTGTCAGAAGCTCTAAAACACTTTTCAATTTTTCGATAACAACCTTAATCTGGCACACACATTTGATTAACATACTGACAGAACTAATCATTACCTAAGGTACAAATAAACAAGCCAACAGTGAGGCTGATGTTCCCCGCCGAAACCCCCAAATAAATAAATGACACATATTAATTAATCGCACATTTTCTTTTTTTTTCAAAAGTATCAAGCAATCAAACTGATTATCAACTATACACTAAGTTTCATCACTTTCTATCAGATAGAATCAAAGTTATCTTGTCCCAAAGCTTAGCTTTAGTTTGAAATGACAATCATTAAGCTCAGTCAAGACAGTCACCTAATGAACATCTACATCAAGTTTAAACATTCTACCTCAATTAAAAGCAGAGTTGTTATGTTCCAACGTCTTGACCAATCAAATTGCTTATCGCTCCTTGGCCTAAGCACAAATTTCTCATCATTGAACTTAGTCAAGGTAATGATATGATGAATCTATACTCAGAGTTTCATCACTATCACTTAATTATAACCAAAGTTATCGTACCCCAAAGCATCAACCAATCAGATTGCTTATCTCTGCTTACCGTAAGCAGAAAATGTTTATCACTGAACTTCATCAAGGCATTCACCTAATGAATGTCTACACCAAGTTCGAATATTCTACCTCAACAAGCCAACAGTGAGGCTGATGTCCCCCGCCGAAATTGCAAAATAAATAGATGACACATATTAATTAATCGCACATTTATTTTTTTCACTAAGTTTCATCACTCTCTATCAGATAGAATCAAGATTATCTTGTCCCAAACCATCGACAAATGAAATCGATTAGCTCTGCTTAGCTTCAGCTCGAAATGTTAATTATTGAACTCAGTCAAGACATTCACCTAATGAACATCTACATATACATCAAGTTTAAACATTCACCTAATAGACACCTATGCCAAGTTTGAACATTCTACCTCAATTAGAAGGAGAGTTATTGTGTTCCAAAGTTTCTACCAATCAAATTGCTTATCACTCTGCTTACCCTCAGCAAAAAATGTTCATTATCGAACTTAGTTAAGGTATTCATATAATAAATCTATACACCAAGTTTCATCAATCTCACTTAATTAGAACTAAAGTTATCGTGTCCCAAAGCATCAACCAATCAAATTGCTTATCTCTGCTTACCCTAAGCGGAAAATGCTCATCTTCGAACTCCATCAAGGCATTGACCTAATCAACACATACACCAAGTTTGAACATTCTAGCTCAATTAGGAATAGAGTTATCGTGCCCCAAAGTATCAACCAATCAAATTGCTTATCTCTGCTTACCCTCAGCGGAAAATGCTCATCTTCGAACTCCATCAAGGCATTGACCTAATAAACACATACACCAAGTTTGAACATTCTAGCTCAATTAAAAGTTATCGTGTCCCAAAGCATCAACCAATCAAATTGCTTATCTCTGCTTACCCTAAGCGGAAAATGCTCATCTTCGAACTCCATCAAGGCATTGACCTAATCAACACATACACCAAGTTTGAACATTCTAGCCCAATTAGGAAGAGAGTTATCGTGTCCCAAAGCATCAACCAATCAAATTGCTTATCTCTGCTTACCCTAAGCGGAAAATGCTCATCTTCGAACTCCATCAAGGCATTGACCTAATAAACACATACACCAAGTTTGAACATTCTAGCTCAATTAGGAAGAGAGTTATTGTGTCCCAAAAAGTGTGACGGACAGACAGACGGACGGACAGACGGACGGACAGACAGACGGACGAACCCATTTTAATAGTCCCCTGCTTTCTTCGAAAGGCGGGGGACAATTAGAAGGAGAGTTATTGTGCTCCAAAGTCTCGACCAACATAGGCGTACGAGCCAGGGGGGCAGGGGAGGCAGCTGCCCCCCCTAACTTTCGGGCAAGCTGACTTTTCGGGCAGACGGGTAAAGTAAAAAAAAAATTTATTTTATCTACTTGGCCAAATAAAGTGCCCGAAATCTAATAAAACACTAATTTTACGGTCTGGAATAGCAGTAAAACGCTTTTGGGGCCGTCAAATCTTCCAAAATTGTCTTGGGGGTGGGGGTGGGGTCCATACAAGGTCAGCTCCGCTTCTTCGCCTCTCGAAGAAAACCGGCGCCTCTGTCTGTAAACCTGAATTTTTTTGGGGCATTTCTAGTTTTGCTTCCCTAACTGTCATCCAGCCCTAATAAAACACTAATTTTACTTTTATTTTAATTGAATACCATGAATTTGTACTGAGTTGACTATGGATTAAAACATTTTGTCTGGAGCCACTCTACTTTGTGCGACATTTTTCAGGCATCGATTATTATTGTGAATGCAGCTGCAACAGTCTGACTGTATGATTGGAATTCAGAATGGGATTTCGGTTACAAAACCATTGGATACTTTTGGAGTTGCTTACACGGGCTAAAATAGCAGAAAACGCATTTGCCGTGGTTAAATTTTCAAAATTTTCTCCCAACGGTCCCGTCTCCGTGGACTGGAAAGGATTGATCTTTTGATTGGAATTCGAGCAAGCCATCTTAATGAGGTTGCGGCAGAACTAATCCGCCTGGTGGCGCTGTAAGAAAGTAGGACATCTCCGTAGCGACAAGCAGACGCTAAAAATATGGCTGACTTCGACGACAAATATTGTGATAAAACGTTATTAGAACTTAAGGAAATTCTTCGTGTTCGTAAATTAAAAGTTGCCGGAAAAAAAAGAGATTTGGTTGAACGGTAAGTGATGATAATCCAATGTTTTCTTTAGATTTATTTATAGATGCTAGAAACTCGAGTGAACGATAGTCGATAGCTCTAGGCCTAATCAGATATAAATAAACAAACAGTGTCAGTGTTCACAAGTGTTTGTTTACGTAATTCGTTGATTGTTATTGTTTTCCATTCCGATTATAATTTACACAATTAAAGACTGTTGTTAGTTATAAATTTATTGTAATGAAACCTGGTGGATACAAAGACAATATAAAATAATACATATTGATATAGGGCCTATATTATAATTATAATAAAAACTTTCACTTTCAATAATAAATAGGCTAAATTAAAATTTTCTTTTCGCCCAGAACAGGTAAAACCATATTCGGTATTGCTAGCCGTCGAGGCTATACTATTTTAGTATTATTGTTAATAATAACATGTTAATAATAACACTTTTCCTGTCTAATTTTAGTCTTTCATTAATTTAAATTCTAGATTGATATTTGATGACAGAAATTCCTCAAAAAATGAACCTGCACCAGAATTCCACATGTGTCTGCCTGGAATCAGCGAGTATACAGATCTCCATGCTGATCACTTACAGAACTTCCCTAATGTGACCAAACAGAGAGTAGTGGATTTCTTACAACTAAGTGACCAAAAGTTGAATGAAAAAATTGAACTTCTTTATGCACAGAGGTAATTTTTAAACATAGGTGTCACATCTTATTTAAGGTGTTGACAGCACAATCATGTACTATCACATCAGGCAGAGTTAGTGACTTTGTAACTCATTTCATTTTACACCTTTGCAAAGTTTGGGTAAGATTTAACTATGTTATGAACGGTACTCATTTACACTAAATAGGAAATATTTTTTATCCAGAAATCCATCTCTTTTATATTTTTTTTTATCAAAGTACCATTAATAATTTTAAAAAATTGTTTTGGAATTTAATTTGCAGAAGAAAAAAAAATTAATATTGAGAGCTAATTAACTTGCCCCAATGTCATCCCTCTCAGTGATGGTAGCCGCCAAGCGAATAATTACTGCTGATCAGTCTGTGACATCTTTTCAGTTTCTTTTTTGTACATAAACTTATCCTTTATTTTTACCATACATTTGTATTTATTTTAGGTATCTAAGATATGTGCGTGTAGTCATAAATGATGTAACATATATAACTTCGAACGTTTGGGCAGAAATGAAAAGATCAACAAGCTACAAAGTGGACATAAGTATAGACAGGAATGCAGTGATCCAGCAAACTCAGTGTGAATGTGCAGTAGGACAAGGACCATTGGCTCATTGTAAGCATGTGGGAAGTGTTTTATTTGGTCTTGTAAAATACTGCACATCTGGTAGCATTCTAACAGAAGTAACATGCACACAGGTATATATATTATCTCTATTCAGGATGTGTCATATTATTTAATTTTTATTGATTAATTTGCTTTTCAATACCAATACTGATCTTACTTTGGTGTAAGGCATGGATGTATAACTGATATTGCCTTAATTATAATGTTATTCTAGTTAACACCTAGTCATGTGTACTACAGCAATAAGTATAACAATTATAGCCCTAGGCCCAACTGCCAGCAGGTCTAATCCTCGAATGCCCTGGTGTGATCTCCCATAAGGAGAGAGAGAGAGAAATGGGGTTTAACGTCCACTCAACACAAACTAGGTCATTTCGGGACTAACATATGGTTTAATTTTATTTACATAATTCCATTATATTTAGGATACATTCAAACTTGGAATAAACATTATAGGAAATTCATTAATGATATTTGCATTCATTTCAGGTTTTACAAAAATTTCACAAAAGTAAGCCCATGAAAGGTAGTCCATTGAAAACAAGGAACCTGAGTGGAATCAGAGGAAATGTGAAGCCTGCTATTTATGATCCAAGACCAGTGCATAGGAAGAATTCTTCAAAAAATGAACAAAACTTGAGAAACATGGTACTTAACTGGCAGGTGAGCTAATTCAATTCATATTTGATCAATCTTAAGATTTTTGAGTGATTTATGTCATTATGAAAATGAAATATTAACTCCATCATCCTGTACTATGACAACCTTTTCTGTTTCAGGGAAAATCAAAGTGGCCTGTGCTACAAATGTATGAATCAGCCAACATAAGAGCCTTAGCAGCTGACCATGACTACATGGAGCTGACAATGGAGGATCACTTTCTCAAGACTGAAAAGGTATTATTTTAGTTTAAAACAGTTATTTGTTATAAGATAAATTACAGTCTTGTACTTTATTCAAGATCACAAATGGTTTGACTCTGTAACAGTGATTAGATTATTATTGTAGTGTTCCTCTATAAACAGTCATTATGTAATATCTAAATCTGCCTATTGCAGGTCTTTTTGGGGCCTTAAATGATATATAAATTATTAATTAGACATTTATTAACATGACAAGACCATAATCAACTCTCGATGCCAATTTTAAGTTGATATCTTAAATAATGCATCTTAAGTTTAAATGTCAATCGGATAATAATTTCTTGTATTTACTGTAATTTCAGGTATCCTGTATTTCAAAGGCTGAAATCTATGAAATTGAGCAGCAAACCAAATACCAAAGTGCATGTGACAGGTGGACAGCAGAAAGACGAAAACGAATTACATCTTCTAATTTTGGAAATATATGCAAGGCCACTATAAAGAGAGACATTGATATGCTACTGAGGGGTCTATTACACCCAGTAAATCTAAAAACTAAACAAACTATGTATGGGAGACAATATGAAAGTGTGGCAGTGGAGAGTTTTGAGACATTGACAAACACTAAAACTAAGAGTTGTGGACTTTTTGTTAGTGAACACACCCTATGCTTGCTGCCTCACCAGATAGAGTCATTGACGATGAAACTCTGGTAGAGGTAAAGTGTCCGTACTCAGCACGAAATTATTAAATTTCTGAACAAACGGTTCCATATCTAACCATAACTGATGGGAAGTTAACCCTAAAAAAAACCCAAAACTATTACTATCAAATACAAGGGCAGTTGTTTTGTGCGGGTAGGAGACAGTGCAAGTTTATTGTTTTTACTTTGACAGACATAAAAATCATAGACATCTTTTATGATCATGAATTTGTTATGGAAATGTTGAATAGACTCTCAAGTTTCTATGATTCACATTTTAAGAATGCCATTTTGAATAAATATTTATTTAATAAATAAAAATATATCAGAGTTAATATGTTTTATTCTATCCAATGTTACAAGATCAATACACGTCAACTTAGGCATCATTGTGGACAATGGCTGGTCTAAAATTACATAAATAAAAACAAACTGAAATAATTGCATCTGACAAATTTGATTCTGTATTATTTAGAGGTTTTTTCAATATTTTAAATGTCTTGGCTAGTCCGATAATTCGTTCAACGTGCACTCGTTTGCTGGCTATTTTTCGATCATTTGCTACTGAATGTCCAGACATCCTGTTCTTTTTTTTAAAAAGTTCTGGAATGTTAATTTCCACATTTGACGGTATGAACAGATCTTGGACATTAAACCCCTTATCTGCCATGACAGAGTCACCAGATTCACATAAATTCATTAGACAGCTTCTCTCGCATATCTGCCTATCACTGGCTGCACCACCAAATGCATCGGACACATAACTCACAAGACCCCCTGGTGTAACACCTACAAGGACCTTAACCGTATTTCTGTTTTTATATGTGGAAAATGTGCCTTGCTGAATAATGGGTTGTTTTGGCCTTTGTATTGGTATTTCCGTACCATCAATTACTACCCTTGTTGTCGGAAACTTAGACTTAAAGTCTGCAGGACTGTAAAACTTTACCAAGTCTTTGGATGGCCACCAGTTAATTTCCATAAGTGAAAATACATGAAATTTATCCATGTTATAAATATGTTCATAAGCTCTTTTTCACATATTTCAAATGTGTCAGACAACTCAAAATTACTCCTCCCAAGTATAAGTTTAACCAAAGTCAGAAAAAACTGGTCCTCTGTTGACATCTTAGGTTTTGTCCCATAAAAATACCTAAGTTCATCAACTACTGGCCCAAACGAGTAAAACAAACACATAAAAGCATCATAGCTTTCTAGTCCAGTATAATATAGAAATTTCTCCGAACTCAACATGTATTTTCGGGCACAGAAGCGCATTGACATATCAACTTGAGTAGCAGAGTCTTTTGTATCAGGTTCACTATTAACTGAAAGAAAAGAAAAAAGTTGTTTTTTGTAAATTTCAAACATTAAACAATAATATTTTATTAAACGTGGAGGCCAATTAGGGGTACATGTATATAGCTATATTAATATTTGTGACTGTTGCATATATGTCTGTCTGTTCAGGGTTGGTGGCTTCGTTACGGCTGTCCTGAGGCTGAAATTTGGTGTAATGGGGTAACTCAGGCCAGGTGGTGTTGGATTATCACTTTCAGTTTCAGAGTTCTACTACTTACAACTCGTCAGGGCCTGGTCATCCGTAAAGTGAATAGTTTATGTTTAATACCATTATGGGTATATTTCGCTGCAGGAATCCAGACATAATTTATATTAAATAGCAGAAGGGAGTCGCTACATCAATTTCAAGACATTGGGGGAGGGGGGTAGCTATTATCCAAATGAATTTAGAATTATTATCGAGCATAATATCAGAAATTAGGGGGTATGGGCAGGGGCATGAGGTTGTAGTAGTACCACTTAGTAGGAGTCCTTTGCATTGTAATTTGTACAATACCGGGTCTATAAGTTTAAAACTGTCTTTCAGCAAAGTACCGTAATTATTAGACAAATCCTATGTTTCATTCACAAAACATAAGAATTTCCCTTCATTTTTTTTTTCTCGTAGACTAATCATCGCACCCAAACTTTGTAAATTAAACCTACCTTCGATAGGAGTAAAGTCCTCTTCGATGTATTCTATTTCAACTTCGTTTCCCACAGTTTCAGAAGTTGACAAGCTTTCCAATCTCTCGATGACCTGGCGCCTGGTACGTTCGGGCATTTTTATGCGCGAACTCTTAGGGTTTTTTTTACTGGCATGCGCACAGGTACTATTTCTTTTTCTTTTAACAAGTACCCAAATCGGGGATTTCGTGCGGAGGTAGTTCGGAGGTAAACAGTCTGTGAAGTACAACACTTGCCACTGTACCTGTGTATCGCTAATTATAAACCGAATGTGTGAAGACAGTTCATACATATCACTCAAAAATTTTTCAGTACAAACTCAGTTGATTCACGCTCGATTTGCTACTAAACAAACCCATCGGTTTATTTTCTCAACAGTGTGACCCGAAGTGACCGCGGATTTATTGACCTTGTATGAACTTATCCATAGCTATATCCTTACACCGAGAGAAATTATCTAGTCTCGGTGAAAAGAACCATGGTCATCTGGTAGAAAATTACTTTTGTATATTTTGGAACGGAAAACAGTGTTTTTAGAAGCAAACTAACCTGCCGCACATGAGGAAGTCATTATACTAATAATAAAAGGCGAGACCTCTTTTTGCGGCGCAGGCTTATCACTGAGTAGTAAACCGTCCACAAACAATAATATAGGAAGCCTAGTGACCGAGTGTAGTAACGTAAGCAGGCTATAGACTATAGGTTTGAGTCGAGATTACTCGCTTTCAGTTTACTCTGTTTTTGCGATAACCAATTATGTGAGAAATACCATACTGACATTCGGTTTTTAAAAGTTGTACGCCAACTAAATGCGTTTGTTAGATACTGACAGAGCAGCCCCGAGTCGAACAATCGCCGCCCGAGCTGTCTTCGTCAGCTAGTTTCACAATATCGTGCAATAGGTGTATTAATGTGATTTTTAGGTTTAACCCCGCAAACAATGCCAAAATAGTGTTTTCACTGCTTACAGAAAACTGAAATTTAAAAAAAAAAATTTTTATGAGGGTGACCCTCCCACACACCCCCTATCGAGCTGCCGCTCGGTCTGCGCAGCCTCATGCCTGGCACATACTGTCAACATTGTATATTTTTCCGTTTCCGCCCTTCCCCCCCACAATATATATTTCACGGCTACATTGCGACGGTACCAGCATACCCAGTTGTTGACACCCATTACATCACTCCTGTCTAACAAATCATAAAGCTGTGGTGTTACGGTGGCGGCATAGTATTCTGTAACACCACAGCCACTCTAACCATTCATAATACATCTAACTATCCCTTTACAGCACTTCACTCCCTACACATTTCCCCTCGTTCTACTTTCCCAAACGTCAACAACACATCTCATACATCCAGTTCGCTGATTAACCCTTGTACCACGTCTACTGGATTTTGTTAATACTTTGTTGTTTATGTAGGGCTCTTTCTCTGCGCCTACTACCTGATAAACTTGTTCTTTTCCAAGCAAATAAATGTGGAATCGCTCCTGGCTTCAATATACTATTGACCATTTGATCCCCTGGAATAATTAATATTAAAAATACAATCAAATACCGGTAGAATACCGGTAGTCTAGTACAAAAAAAAATTTACTTTTTTTTACTCATATATAGGCATAGCCATAGGCTAAATTTTAATTAAATGAGAATCATTCCTAGGCCTTGTTGTAGTATTGTAAATATACAGCATTTTAGTTTTACCAAGATAGGCATACCGTACTCAGATAGGCATGCCTAATTTGGCCTTAAATTTAGGCTAAATTTTAATTAAATGAGAATCATTCCTAGGCCTTAATTGCTGTAGTATTGCAAATATACAGTATTTTACCAAGGGCTATACACAAGATCTGTTTTCTATTTAGGCCTAAGTAAGAGTAAGAGTAGGCCCCTAGATTGCCACCAGCTGTCCTTTGGCCCTCCTGGTATAGCCTAGTCATAAAATACTAATATAGGCCTAGTATTAATACTATTAATAGTGACACGTTTTGATAGGCCTAAAATTTCTAGTTCCTCTTGGCAGCGAACGCCAAAATTGTAATCCTTAAAACTTTGGACTAGATCTAATTGAAAATATTTCTCAATCTAATACCTAAAACAAGTCAAAATATAAAAATGTATTTTGTCAACTTACTTTCTTTGGTTTCGGAAATGTAGTCAGAAGAATCAAAATGCGATCGACAAACAATACTCCACTTAGACGGTGTCCAGTCACTTTCTCCTCTTTTTACGGCCTGAATCCATCGCCGTCTCTCAACAGGGTCCAGCGGAAATTTATGCCCACCTTTCCCATTACACATCGGTACGCAACAATGAGCTGGCATTATTTAATTCACACAGAAAACCAAAACGGGCGCTGAGAATGAAAATGATTGTCAGTGAAGCGTAGAGCAGACGAGACTGACACTTTCGTGTCCTACTTTCTTTGCGCGCCACCTAGCTTCCGGTTTAATTCTGCCGGTACATTAGCCTATATTAGACCACTTTGAAGTTGCTTTCTTCACGGGCTGAAATAGCAGGAAAACGTGTTTGCAGCCGTCAGATATTTCAAAATTTTCTTGCGGGGTGGGGGGGATCCACACAAGGTAAGCTCTGATTCTTCGCCTCTCGAGGAAGACCGCGCCGCTGTCTATAAACCCGAAATTTTTTCGGGCAATTCGGGTTCCTGCCCCCCTAACTGTCATCGAGCCCGTACGCCTATGTCGACCAATCAAATTGCTTAATGGTCTGCTTACCTTGAGCAGAAAATGCTAATTATCGAACTTAGTCAAGGTATTGATGTGATAAAACTATACACCAAACTTCCTCACTCTCACTTAATTAGTAGGGTGCCCCACCATAAATAAATATCTCGACAATTACACCAAAATATCTATATATACACCAAGCCTTAAATCAGTTTCAAACATTTATAGTCACTAAATAAACGGTCATGTTGTACTTAATAAGCTATGACCATTTAACCATCCATAAATAATACACTGAAAGATGGTTCCGAGTGTCGGCCATAACATCCAAGCACATGTGAGTAAAAAAATAGGTTACGTGCCCTTGTTTTGAAAGTAATCTCGCTACACCAGTCTAACGACCATTCTACATTTGATTAACTGGCTGGGATAATCAAGACTACTTTTTTACGAAACATAACAGAAAGCTGGAACAATAAATTGAATTTAGAAACACACACGTTGGGCAACTCAACAATTATTTTAGGAACCCTGTAAAAGTAAAATGAAACTAATGCTAGTATTTCAGAGATATTATTTGTACTAAACCAAAAGATGCCACTCCTAACACTAGGGACTGGGTATCGTCCAGTTTTACGAAAAAAGGTTAGATTTGAAAGGGGTT